AAATTTTAAAAAAAGCTCTGGAATTGAGGTTTTCTTTTTCCCTGTGTGTTTTTAAAATCCTATGTGATGGAAACTAAAACATTGGGGGGGGGTATGTATCGTAAGACCCTCTGCACCGCTTGCAGTGGAAGCTTCAGCGAGGAGTCATTAAGCCAATACTGGAAAACTTGTAATAAAATATTTCAACTCAGAGAGAGAGAGAGAGAGACAGACAGACAGACATTGCAAGGGAAGTAAGGAAAAGGCAAGCTCCTGTGACAGAACAGAAACTCTTCCTGACATATAATCCATAGAGGTAGCAACCAAACAAGTTTTAAGATAGCCCAGGAAAGCTTGCGTTTCAAAAAGGGAAAAGGCCAACAAATATAGCAGGGCTCACTAGACCATTATTGTGGGCAACATGTCTGCGGTGACCATGCTCATGTGTGAGCGCGCACACTCCATCAAGGTTACTTACCGTGATATCTTCAAGGGAAGAGTCGATGATTTCATAATTGTCTGGCAGGCAATAGAACTTCAAAGTGTGAAGGTTGAGAAAGACGTGGTGGCTGAACTGTACACTGTGAATGTATGCATGGGACTTCAAGCCTCGACCTACAGAGAAGGAAGAAGACGGGTAAACCAGGAGAGCGTCTTACAGTTGACTTCTGGCAGGTGAACTACTCTAGAAATCCTTGAAAATACAAAACTAGAATAAGAAAGGGGAGGTGGAGGCTTTAAAGATATCTCACAGCACTTAAGATGGAGGGGCATGTGTGTTACGGGAGGAGAAAAAGGACTGCAAGAAAGGCGAAGAGACAGAGTAATGAAAGGCAGCAGAACAAAACAGGCAGTGGGCTGCAAAGCCACAATGAGAACTGAAAACCGCTGAAGGAGAGAGGAACAAAAGTAGGACTGGAGCAGTGGACTAGTGACTAGGATCCTAAAGTGGTGTTCTATAGGCACAGCAGCTGCTCCTCTGATGGAACAGCTTTTCTGTCTATAGAGGAGGGCAGGGAAGGGAGATTCTGCCCTCCTGCTGCAGACTCCCAGTTTGCTCTGCTCCTCATGCTGCTCCTTAGGGTATGCTGACTTGAAGGAGCACAGATGCAGGAGACACAGGAGAGTGTAGTGAAAGGGGGAAGTTAACTTCCTTTAGTGCAACTCTGCTTGCACTGCTCAGGATCCAAGCCACGACTGGCAGAAAGCAGACATACAAGGGAGTCTGAGGACTAACGAGCCAAGTGAACATCAGGCACTACACCAGACAGGGCAATCCTGCCATAAGGATTCTACTGTAACTGCAACTGCAACATCCCCAACCCTAAAGGAGGGGGAAAGCTCCCAAAAAGGTTGTGCGAGGGGAATGAAGTTCACATACTGATTGGAACTAATGGGCCAGTTCTTGAGCTGCAGGCTCCCAGGAGCATCATTAAAAATTAACTGACACAGTAGCATGATGGTAACACCCCCCCCCCTTCAGAAGTTTGTTGTGAGCAAAAGAGATACACACAACATATTAAGCCTACATTGTCGAGACCCGTCCTTTGTTTTGCATGATACCCATAACTACTAAAAAGTATCATTTGATTCTAAGGTAGTACTGCCCAGTACACTCTCTTTTTGGACAGGAAAGCCTAGAACGAATGTAAACTCACCCTGGAAATATTTTCCACATACCAAACAGGCGTAGACATTAATATGCGAGAGTGAGATTGAACACAGCTTCTCAAAATCAAAGTCCAGAACACTCCTAGAAGAGCAGAATATTAAGTAATTAATCACCATGGGGCAGACAGATGCCTCAACACAACAGAACTCAGCAACATGTGTGGGATGAAGCCATCATTTCAAACCAGGCCATTCTCACATTGAGCACAGCATTTTGGGAGACTGCATTTGAAGCTCACCACATCAGTGTGTTAAGAATGATACAACTCTAAAAGAGTGGTGCACTTATCTAATTGTGCCACTCTTATAGGTATCTGGACCAAACACCATTACTACATCTAAATCCATGCATGCAAAGGAAAAGAAAAATTATTTCATAGGGTTCAGCTGCCTAATGTTTTCTGCCATAAACAGTGTACATTTTCAAGCCTAATGATTAATTTAATGCTCCCCACAATTACACACTATTTTCTCTATATACTGACTTGTTTATGGTGTCCAAGTATGGGCAGTGCCTGCTCCGCCGGTCCTCTGGGTCAAAGCGACCATATTTCACTGAAACAGGCAAGCAGAAAGGCAAGTGAGAAACATGCTTTAGGGCCTTCAGCACCAAAGAATAAACAAGCACACCAAAATATATGCATTCAGAAAAAGCCTCACAACAAAGTACTGTCCTATCCATAACAGGAGAAAACTATTTATTTATACATTTTCATGGGTGCTTTTCTAGCAGAATACTAAGTTGATGTACATAAAGAGCAACAGAGAAAAAGCCAATAAAATAAATGAAAAAGATACAGCAGCATAAAGGTCAACAGCAAAAACATTATCGCCTGCATTCCTCAGCCAATGCCATCTTCTAAGCTGAGGGCTAGTTATGACTTGTCAACTTCTGTTGAATGACATTTACAACTGCAACATCTGTTGGTATCTAAATATGGTCCTAGGGCATTTTATTATTTTTTTATTATTATTTTTTTACACTTATATCCCGCCCTCCCCAGTGGGCTCAGGGCAGCTAACAGAGACCAGATCATTAGTCTAGCCATAAATAAAAACATAATAAAAACATCACAACTAAGACTAAAGTGCTCTATCCAGTTACTAGTGTCCTAGATCCAAGATGGTATCCCCATGACTCGAGCTGGTATTCTCAGCGTACATATCCAGTGGCGACGGCCTTTCCGATGTAATTCCAAGTTCTTCCTAGAGCCCCGTCAATGCATCCATTCAGGTGTCTTGACGGTTATAATTCGTTTTTTATAGGCTTCTTGGTACCAAAATCACAAGGCAGTAGGGTTTGTCATCAGCTAATGATCTTTCCCCCAAAAAAGCTTCACACACTGTGTCATGAGTGCAACAACTCTTTTGATTCAGTGACAACCTAGACAGCAAATCAGTTGATACTCCTTTACATGGACTCAAATTCATGCTGCTGGCACTGAATAGCACTTTGAATGAATAAAGTGCTTTACAGTCTTTATTGTTTAGGCACACTATAACCTTGCAAGGTAGGCAAGTTGGCACTACAACTCCTACTTTACATATACAACAGCTGATCTTGGAAATATGATTTGCCCATGACACAACAAATCCACGGCACAGAAAACCTTAATAAATCGCCAAAGCCAGATCCTGAAAAGGCACCTGCACCTTTAGCGGACACATAAGAACCACATAAGAACCTGCTTCGAGTCTCGTTTTTGGTAGAGAGAAAAGTGGGTTTATGATTATTTTAATAAACAGAACCTTTGTCCCGTCCTTGTGTGAAACCCGTCCTGAACTAGCGGCCACCACATCTTGTAGCACAGGTAGCTCCACAAGATAACACAAACGAGTACACCCTTAACAGGCTGGTGGTTCAACCTACCGGTGGGTTCCTCATCCTCGTCCTCCTCTTCGGGCTCCCGCTTGATTCGGGGCTCGTCGTCGTCGGGCTCTCGCTTCACACGCACCTGGTCCCGACCCCCCAAGCTTCGAGATACGCCGCTCTGTATACCCGGCTCTTGCTTAATCCGGCTCGAAAGCGAGTTTCGCTGAGACAGCTCACGTGAACTCCGCTCCCGCTTCACCCGTACGGACATCTCTACGGAGACAGAACGACTATTTGCATATCTGCGCATGTCCAAAGCACCACCAGGCGCACCCGGAAATCATCACTTGGAAAGCGCCGGTTAATCCAACTGTAATCAACGGCATCAGAGGCTTTAAGACAGCGCATGCGAGTCGGAGGTCAACGTATGTGGAACCTGCGCGCGCATAATGTCTTTTTAAACGCTACCTGCACCCGCGGTCCCGATCTAGTGCATGTTTACTCAGAAGCAAGTCCCAGTCATTTCAGCAGAACTTACACCCAACTAAGTGTGCAAACAGTTGCAGCCAGTACTTGCTGTGTGTGCAAATGTAGCCTTTTATCAGAACAGCAGTTGCACCATTCAGCCGCTATTGGTGGTTATTTAGCCCCAAAATAGTAGCTGTACTATTGTAATTAATAATCTTGGTTTAAACGTGGTACTCTGGAGTGCAAAGCTCCCCAGGTGTGTGCTTTTGTCTCAGCCAGCGCCACGTTTAAAACAGGTCTAAACTGTTTCAAGGTCTGGAGGCCTCACTTCAAAAAGGATGTGGACAGAATGAAGCGGGGGCAGAGGAGAGAGGCC